CATGATTAACATTCTCTGTTAAAATAAACCAGTGCTTTGGGTATTTCTTTAGTTTTTGCTTTCTTCTGGGGCCTTGGCAGCTAGAAGTGGCCTGCGTCTCATTTGCCTCTGAGATGCCTTGAGTGTTGGGCCTCAAAGAAGAACCTCATGGGATTGGATGATTGGCAGGGGAGTTACCCGAAGGGCCCGACCACGGGCCAGAAGCACTGTTGGGTGCCAGGCACGTAATGGCAAAAATGACAGACCCACTTGTTCCTGTAACAGACAGGTTGAGGGCTCTGACTGGGTGCTGGGGACACAGCAGGACTTAGATGGACCCAGCCCCACCTTTACACGGCTCACTGTGACCAGGCAGTGACAGCAAAGCACGCTCCCAGCTGTTAAGGGGGAGGCACGGGCATTGTGGGAACCCAGAAGGGCTTCCAGGTGGAGGTAGCTTCCAGGCTGTAGTTGGATGGAGGCTGCAGGGAAGCGTGTTCTAGGCAAGGGGAACAGCAGCTCTGCATGGATGCCAGACATTCAGACTCTAGTCCAGCCCCCTCCCTGCAGGACCAGCTGCCACCCTGGGCTTCTCCCTGGATGTCTCCCAGTGCCTCCCTCCTCAGGGGCCAATTTGGTCTCAGCGTCTTCCCTGCAAACCTGCCCCTCCTCTTGGGTCCTTATCTCTGAGGTAGCCCCACTATGCCCCCATCCCCAAGTTGGAGACCCAGATGTCAGCCTCCTGCCCTGCCTCACTTTCACTCCCACCACAGCCTGTGAGTCCCTAGGTTCTGCCTGCTCTCCCTCCAAAGCCTCTCTTCCATCTGTCCTCTCCTTTCTGCCCCATGGCTCTGCCTTGACTGTAGCCCCCCACTCCCACCTACTCCTTGGTCCCCCAGCACCCCTCATGCACCCTCCAGTTGCCTGAAGGAGCCATAGTTTCCCCACCCCACATGCCTTTGCTGCACCCAGTATCCCTTCTTTTAGCTCCTCCCATCTCATCCTTCAGGTTTTTTGCTCAGAGTCACCTCATCCAGGAAGTCTTCCAGGATGCCCCCCCCCCCCGCCGCTGGGTCAGGTCTCCTCACCCTGAGCACCTCCCAAATAACTCCCATCACCCTGTTTTTCAGCCTGCCCAAATCCTTCCACAAGGGTAAACTTAAAAAAAAATCTATTTTGGGCTCCTCTGTGTCCCCAGCGCCCAGCACAGGCTTAGACACACAGTAGGTGCTCAGTAAATATTTATTGAAGGAAGAAGTACCCGAGTGACAGCATGGAGTCAGACTCCCCACCTCAAGCCTCTCCCTGGCCCCTTGCAGCAACTCGGTTCCACTGAACCAGCATTTCTGTGTCCCTACTGCACACAAGGCAGACTCCGAGGGGAAACTAGAGGGACGACCCATGCGTGATGGCAGAACACAAGACCTGGGAGTACCTTAAAGAGAGAAAACCTCTGTGACTTGGAGGGTGGGTGGGTGGATTTGAGGACCCCACCTAAAGAGACATCCTTTCCTTAGAGCGCTTCTGTCTGTTCGAACCCAGGACCAGGGCCCAAGAACAACAGGATTATATTGTGCCCTTTTCCTTAAAGTAAGAAACAAAATTCTGATGTGAATTGCCTCCCTCTAATTCCCAGGGCAGCAGTACATTTTTTTTTTTCCTGTTATTAAATCGTTTGCAATGACCGAGGTGCCTCCCACCAACGGTGCCGTGACTAATTCTGCCCCCTTTTGGGGCTTCTGCATCCCACCCCCGACTGCCCCCATTGTGAGTGGATCCTGGGCGGGGGCGGGGTAGGGGGTTCCCTGCCCAGGGACACGGGCACATGTGTCATCAAAGAAAATAAAAACCTGAGGCTGGGACAAAAGCGGCTGCAGGATCTTTAGGGGTGAGTTTTTCCTCGAAGTAAATGAGCCTTTGGCCTCTGCCTTCTTGTGCTCCAAGCCCAGAGCTTATCATCGATTTATTCATTTCATCCTCACACAGGTCTGTGATGTTGGCATTACCATTATCCCCATTTGACAGATGGGGAGACAAGGCCCAGTGAGGGAAAGTGACTTGCCCAAGGTCACACAGCATGAGCCTGGCAGAGCTGGGATTCGAACACAGGCAGGGTGGCTGGCTCTTTTTTTTAATTTTTTTTTTTTTTGTACTGGCTGGCTCTTAAACACCAGGCTGGGTGCTGGGCCCTGGCAGTTCCCTTCCCTCTCACAACCCTCCTGGGCTTTCCCTTGGGCTCCCAGGGCAAAGTCAAGGCTCCGAATGCTGGAGCTTTCTGAGCCGACCTCTGTACCTTCCATTCTGTTCACCAGCCGCCCTTGGCCTTCTCCATTCCCTCCCGCTAGGCTCGTCAGACTCCCGACTTTTGCCCATGCTGCAGCCCCGCATCTTCCAGGAAACCCACTCCAATCTCTCCTGTCTCCTCTTTGATTCTCACAGATACCAGGCACCAACCTGCCTCAGGGCTTTTGCACTTGCCATTTCCGCTTCCTGAAACACCCTCCCCTACTTCTCTATATGGTGCTTTGCTCGTAGGTCCCCTCCTCAGAGAAGCCTTCCCTAGCCCCCCACTATGCTCCCTTCCATCAATGTTTTGCTGATTTTCCCCCATGTTTACTATCCACCATCATGCCCACGGGTCCAGGGGCCACGCTTAGTCTTGGCCTCTGCTGAGTATTCGGTGTTCAATGCTGAGCCAAACTTTCCAACCCTCAGCATCAAGGCCTGTGATTTTTTTTTTTTAAATAAGGAAATTTTTTTTTTCCAATTTATTTTGTCTGTGCCAGGTCTTAGTTGTGGCACGCGGACTTCTTAGTTGCAGCACGTGGACTTCTTAGTTGCAGCATGCGGACTCTTAGTTGCGGCATGCATTTGGGATCCAGTTCCCCAACCAGGGATCTAACCCGGGCCCCCTGCATTGGGAGTGGAGAGTCCTACCCACTGGACCACCGGGGAAGTCCCTCAAGGCCTGTGATTGATTCCCAGTTGACAGATGGGGAAACTGAGATCCCCCCCAATGCCAGGACTTTGCCCAGATCCTCTATTCTGACCCCTCTGGGCCATGACCCCCAGGGGGCGGGTGTGGTAGTCAGAATCCTGGTTCCCCTGGAACCTGTGACTATGATACCTTCTGTGGCAAAAGGGACTCTGCAGATGGGATTAAGTTAAGGACCCTGAGATGGGGGATGATTCTGGATTATCCGAGTGACCCAGCGTCATCCCAAGGGTCTTTATAAAAGGGAGGCAGAGCGTTAGAGCCAGAGAAGGAGACGTGACAACAGAAGCAGAGGCTGGAGTGAAGCTTTTTGAAGATGGAGGGCGGGGCCACGAACCAAAAAATGCGAGCGCCTCTAGAAGCTGGAAAAGACGGGAAAGCACCATATAGAGAAGTAGGGGAGGGTGTTTCAGGAAGCGGAAATGGCAAGTGCAAAAGCCCTGAGGCAGGTTGGTGCCTGGTATCTGTGAGAATCAAAGAGGAGACAGGAGAGATTGGAGTGGGTTTCCTGGAAGATGTGGGGCTGCAGCATGGGCAAAAAAAGGCTTCCTGGAGCCTCCGGAAGGATCAGCTCTGCCCATGCCTTGATTTTCGCCCAGTGAGACCCATGCGGGACATCTGACTTCCAGAACTGTCAGGCAATAAATTTGTGCGGCTTTGCTAAGTGCTTCACTAAGTTGGTGGTCATCGGTTACACCAGCCCAGGAGACGCATACATCAGGCAGCTCCCAACAGCCTCTCCATGGATACAAGCCCTTTTGCTTGGTAACATCCCTGAATGCTCGCAGCTTTTATTTTGACACGTCTCAGTGTAAAAGTCGTGTGTGTGTGTGTGTGTGTGTGTGTGTGTGTGTGTGTGTGTGTGTG